AACTTAAACATAAGTTATACTTAAATCATGATAAGAATAACTCAACTTACATGTGGTTTAGCAAAAAAATACTGAACTTTGTGCGGACAGAACTTCTAAACTGAAAGCTCTATTTCTCGAGGCTTTCTGATGCTTTGGAGCTTTGCTACTAACACTTAGGAAGTGCTAGACAAAGGCCTAGGGACCTTGGGAAAGTTTTGGAAGAGATTACATAAAAGGTGTGAAGAAAAGAGTAAAAATCGCCTTCTATTTATAGGCTGCCAGGAGTTCCAGTACGCTAGGCGTACTCAAATTACGTTGGGTATAATAGGTATGTTGGGCATACTCAACTTACGTGGGGTGTATTAGGACCACGTGTCATCATCTTGTGGCAATCCGTGGGGAGAATGGGGTGTGCCAGATCGCGACACGTGTCACACTCTTGTTAATCTGAAATTAATTATCTTTTAAAATCCATAACTTTTGTATACTAGCTCCGTTTTTGACGTTCTTTATATCCACACGTAGCTATCGTAGGGACCCACAACTTTTTTAGACTCCGTTGGCTAGTTTTGAAGTTATTCTTAAATTTTTATTTTAACAATCTTAGACAGTTAAAGTTCGTTACAAATTCGTAACTTTGTTATTCGACATCCGTTTTCGAATGTCTTTATATCGTTGAAATCCTGTTAATGAGATCTTTAATTTTCGTTCAAATTGTTTCAAATAAAAGTTGAACGATCAAAAATTCGATTTCTGAGTTGTATACTGCTACATTGAATCTTAGAAAAATCATAACTTCCTCTATTGAAGTCAGATTTGGACGTTCTCTATATACACACTCTCAGTTTAATGAATACTATGACTTTTGTTTAGACCACTAAGACTAAAAAGTATTTTATCAAAATCTCACTTTTTACGATACGCAAAGTCGTACTGATTTAATAATGAAACTTCGAAGAAGCATAATTTCTTCATACGAAGTCGAATTTCAACGTTCTTTATATGTACGGAATCCTTGTGACACATATTATAACTTTGGTTAAGATTATTTATCCTAAATAATCTTATTTCAAAAATTCATTCTTCACACTTATTATCTCTAATATAACTAACCCGAATATGCGGTGTTACAGGTTACATCTATGATGCAGTAGACAAAGCAAAGGAGCAGATTAAAAAAAAAACTAATTGGCACGCCTAATAAAAGAATGATCACTAGACTTTGGGCTATGATTCAAACAAGATGGAGCGACCAACTTCATCATCTATTGCATGCAAGTATTAAACATTATATTTATTATTTTAATAGAATTTCCTAGTTTTACTTCTAAATCTTTATTGAATGTACAGTTGTTTGTTACCTGAACCCTACCATTTTTCATGGGGAAAATTCAAGGAAGATACAAAGGAATAAAGACATCGCGACGGGGACTCTATGTATCTATTGAT